CCCCAGCCCCTCCCCAACCGCCCTGTCTCTTCCAGGATGGAGGGACAGGGCTCCTACGCGCTGCCGACGGGCACCGAGTACCGGGGAGCGCTGAGGGACGGGATGTTTGACGGCGAGGGAGAGCTGCTGTTCCCCAACGGCGGCAGATACCGGGCGGTCTGGCACCGCGGGGTGCCCACGCAGGTACCCCGGGCAGGGGCGGGGGAGCTGCACCCCAAGGGGCCTCCACTGTCGGGGAGCGGCCCTGCCTCGAGGCCCCACCTCAGGGAGGGTTTTGAGGTGAAATAAGTGGATTTCTGAGCCAAGCCAATTTTTCGCCCCCTCGGTGGGGTCTCGCACCCAAAATGTGAGGGGTGGGGCTGCTCCGCAGATGTGGTTCCCAAGACTGTTTAAGCCCGAGCTGAACCACGCACTCATTCTGCTCGGCTAACGCACGGTTTTGGCAGTGGAAACGCTAACCTTGGTCGTACTCAATCCATCCATCATGTTTATTAAATCTCTGCTTCAACATGTTTTGCAGGGGAAATACACTTTTGCAGATGGTCTCAAATACAAAGATAAAAAATGGCATTACTGTGACGGCTACGACAGAAGATTTTACACAGAAATCTGTTCTGGTCTTAAACCAGCAGGTACTGAATTGCATTTGCGATCCTAAGAGTCTGGAAGGAATTAAACTAACAACTTTGCTTAAGAAAGATTAATTCGGCTACATGAGTAACATGGAGCAGAAATGCTCTGGCTAATTTCAGGACCCGACCGGTAGGATGCTGCCAGAAGAATGCTGACACCAGCTTCCACCAGCCCAGGATGCAGCCTGGTCTCTTCTGGAGTGCTGACTCCTGGGACAGGACTTTGTTTTCAACAGATTTTGATATCCTGATTAACCCTTTTATACATTCTGCCTTCACGGCATTAGCAGTGTGTTTTTAATATAGAAAAGTTGAGCAAAAGCAATCCATTTACATCCAGAACATCAAATAAAATTTGAATGCATCTGCCCCGTGTAGCTTTTTAGTAGATACCAAAATAAACATTTGTGTCAAGTCTATATTTTTGCTAAAAAGTTTTATAATATAATTGTTTGTCTACAGTCAAAAGGTGAAAAGATTTATAAGGAACAAGTAAATAAAATATATAATGTAATACATAAAATACTCTTCTTTATACACAGAATATTTCAGCGATGACATGTAGTTGTTCTGTGAGGCCAGCAAGGCTCTCCTGGCTCCATTTTGGAGTTTGGGGTCATATTTGTGGTGTTAGCTTAGTGGGCTGAATCACAGGGCCGTGAACGGGGAAATCAAAGGGATTTCTTTCCACAACACACTTTTTGTGTCTGGATTTTTCCATTTTCGTTTTCTCCATCTGCAAGATGTTTTATAAAATTTGTCATAAGGTAACTGCATTGTTTTTATAGCAGATGCCGTGGAGATGTAATACTTGTTAGGTGTCTTGATCAAAGGCACAAATGGGAAAAGCAGCAAAATAAAGCAAATACTTTGTTTTTTTTATCTTCAGACATTTCTCAGTTTACAAACCTGGATCCTCCCAGAAAAATCCCGGAAGGATGTTACGACTGTGGGGATGGATTCTATAATCCTGAAACCAGAGTTATTGTTGACTACAAACTCAGGTTTCTGAGAAACGCAGGTATGATTAACTTCTGCAAGGTAAACTAAGATGAGTTTATTCATCATATCTTCTAGGATGTGTGATTAAAGCTAAACCGTAAAAAAAAAGTCCGTGATTTGGTCCTGTTATCACTGAGCAAAAATATTTTTTACTTATTTATTTTTATCAGCAATTTATGTATCCCCAGAGTTGTATAAATCCTATTTTTCAAAATTACAATGAAGTATTCCCAAGCAGATATGAATAAATATGCTTTGTTACCATTTGATATGTTAACCTCAGGAAAATCTTCAATCTCTCCCATTATGATCTCAAGCAAGGGAGTGGTTGTAAGGTGTACATCATTGATCTTGACTTAACTCTGCGTTGTGAACCAGCAATGTGCTTCAGGGTGTGCTTATCTCTCCATGTAAGAATAGTCCGTTTTGTTGAAATGTGTCTTAGGGCTACGTTTAAATGCTGTGATCAACAGGGAACTTTCTTGTCACCTTGCAGAGCTGTGTTTTGAGTAGTCTTACAAATATTGGGTCTTGTGGATGAGTCCCCAGAGTAATAATCCTCAGGGAAAATTAGTTCTCATCAAGCCAAAAAAGAAACTTTTCAAATTAAAACCACACAGAAGATCCCCAAACAGTTGACACTGGGATAACTCAAAAAATGTAATCTGACCTGAAACAAACGCTTTGTGTTCTGACAATTTAACCTTTGTGCTTTTTAGTGCAGATTTTTTTTTAAATAATGATTTCTGAAAGCAACCACCCACCCCACTTTTTTTTTTCCCCCCAAATGTCTAAATCGCAAGACCTGGTGTTTCTAGAAGACAGAACATTTCATTTTCAGTGTGCCACAGTTTAACAGTTTTGTTGCTTGGAAACTCCATTTTTCAGCAAATTTACTATTTGTTGAAAAAAAAAAATTCTGCTCTGCTCTACTTTCAAGAGCTTTTATAAGTACGCACTGTGATTTTGGAGGAGGGAATTGAAGGGGGGGGGGTTAAATGAATTGGAGATACCATCTGCTATAAAATATACCCTATGATACATGGCCTGTTTTATAAACGTTGAATAAAAACTGATCTAGATTATTACAAATGGCATTGATCCAAAATACTGGAATGCAGTGGGCCTACTGATGAGGAAGATAAGCAACATGCTTTCCAAAAACACAGGAACCTACACAGATTAGTACAGGAGGGAACGCCTTGGAATTCAATTTATTGTTTTTTAATCTGTTCTTTGAACTCATTGTCCTTTATGACATTTATCTCAAACCCTACAAATTGTGTCCATCAATATTCTCTAACCAGAGCAGCGCAGCGTGCAGCCTGACGGAGTCGTTGGAGATGTGCTTTGTGTGGCCGTTCCATTGAGAGCCCTGGACACAAAGTTAAACTTGTTGATGTGAGTGTGAAGAAGGAATGTGCCATGTAGGCCAGACCCTTCCTCTCAAGAACATGAACACAATTGAAAAACCCGGCACTTGTTCAACATCAGAGGAACTCTTACCGCCCCAGGAGAGTTGATTCAGGGCACAAGGCCACTGCAGTAAAGAAAAAAAAAATAAAAAAAAATTAATAAACCCCCAGCTGTAAGCAGAAGAAACTGAGGAAGAGGCTGGGATGACAGGGAACAGATCCAGAATTACTCCATTATAGGTTGGGCAGGAAGGAGCAGGAAAACCTCCAGGCTTCCAGCCAAGTCTTGAAAGCATCAAAAGCAGATGGTACGAAGCATTCAGGAAGTTCTTACAACAGCTTGACAGGTTTACCAAAATGACACTATCTTCCTCAGGTCTGGCAGCAGGCTTTCAGAATACTCCAGTTCTCACCTTTCACCCTGGCCCTATTATGAAGCAATTCCTGATTGTTCCTCGGCTGTTTGTGGAAGAGGGCAGGGGAGCGTACAGCCCTGGCGCTGACCTGCCTCCCCGCTCCAGCCAGGTACCGCTCCCGAGGAGAGGAAAACAGACGCCATTTGAACCTACTGAGTTTGCTTCCACCACTTCTTTTGTCAAGACGAGTGGACGTAGAGTACCGTAGAGACTCCTGTGAAATTTGGCAAGCCTTGCGTTTCACTAGCGTGGAGGTCTGATACTCATTTACTTAGAGAGCTCTTTACTGTTAAAGCAGTGCAAAGGCCCATCGTGAAAACATAATCAGGCCCAGGGAACGAAATGACAGCAACAGTTTTGTTATATGTTTTTATCTAGCAAAGTTTTCCAAATCCTCATTACAATCTTGCAGTTATTACTCCGTCCCTAAACCTCTGTTTCCTCAGGGATGCTCAAATTTCTCTTGATTCTCCATGTGTTCTCCAATCTTTTTTCTTTTTTTTTTTTTTTTTTCCAGTATTGCGAAGTACGCAAAATTGAACACATAAATAAGAATGGGAATGCTCATTTGTAAGAAGATAGGTTGTTTATTTTGAATAGATACTGGGACTAGACTCCTGTTTCACTAGGAGTATTACTTTTTTTTTTTTTTTTCCCCCACAGAAATAGGACTCCTGGCACCTTCGTAACAGAGTTTGGTCAATAGAAAGATGGGAAGATTTCCCAATTTTTTCAGTGATGTTATGTTTAATGCAAAGCAGGGAGGTACAAGAAGAGCTGTAAAATTCAAGTTTTAGGACCCCCAAATATTGGAGAAGCCCACAGCTTTTCAAAGAGAGAATACCATCAAAAATAGAAGTTTTGTTATACTGAGATGGAAAAGATTATAGGAGATTGCCCGGGTCACCTCTCTTTTAATGAAAAGCAAAGATATTTCTGATGAAAATTGCCCTGTTTCTCCTGTGGTTCTCCCAAGGATGGGATAAATAATAAAAAAACATGCTTTTTCTCTTTGTAATACGAGAATATTTGTGCTACTACTTTCATATTCCATCTTCAGGTTTAATTAGTATATACATGGTGCACAGGGTCGCTTTTTATCCCGCGGTCTGTATTACCTGAAGTGTACCTAGCTCTTCATATAACATCACGGGCAAAGCCTGCCTTTACGCTAAAAGCTCAGTCAGGTAACTGAATTAACATTCGTGTTATTAAGAGCAGAATTAGACCCAGAAAACTGGGACAAGTGTCGTATTAAGAGGAGAGGTTTTGGTGTTGCTGCACTCCCAAACCAGCCAGCAATCAGTTTAGGATTTCTACAAACCTGGAAGTCTTGTCGCCTTCAGGAACCATTATGAGCTGAAAAGGTCAAGATTCAAGAACATGATTTTATTATGGTTTAGAAAAGTCTGGGGTTAGAACGTCTGAGGTTCCTTGGTTGTGAGGCTGACCCAACTCTCCAGGCAAGGGTGCAAGGCCATTTTAATTCTAAGCCTTAGTAATCACAGACTTGCAGTTTCCTCACATTGTTACCTTGGGGTGAAGGTTCTCATGCTTAGTCTGAAGGAATTTAGAAGCAAAATTTTTTGGAGAGTCAACAGCGATGTATTCATCCATTTCAGGTTTATCCAAGTATGCAAAGCCATGAGATAAATCTCCTACATTGAGACTTTTTTGCCTTACAACTCAGATCTGACTTGCACCAAGTGCTTTTTGGGAAATGTAGACTTTGACTTGTCTGAAAAATGTAGTTGAGAAACAGAGCCATAACCGCTCAATAATTACACAGGGTATTATTTCTGTACCTACCCTCATGTACCCCAAATACATGCAGATGTTTGCGTGCTCTTTCTCATAAACTACTGGAGAACTGGGTGTGGGATGAGGACCTGGCAATTTTTCAGGCCTGGAGTATTTCTGGAAAAAAGACAGCAAGTTTAACTTAAAGTCGACTGCGGTGCAGGAAAAAAAAAAAAAAAAAAAAAAAAGATCATGCACGGAGCTTTATTCCCTGTTCTTCTTTGAAATTGCCCGTTCTGGTGATGGAGGGAGTGGATGAACAGTCTGATTCCAGGCTAGTCCCTAGTCATTGCCTAAGAATGCAAGAGTTGTTTTGGCAGATGCCCTTAGCAATGGAGAGGAAAGCCCCAGCAATACACGTACAGAGGGAATATAGTATTTTTGTGCGAATGAATTTAGCTTCCCATAGATTTAAATGTCTACTTATAACGCAGGACCATTTAATCTTTTGTACATTTGTTTCTTTTTTATTTGACTTAAGATACTGAATTTAGATGAGGTTTAGTTCCTACATATTGAAACTCTTAAAAGCTCTTCAAATAATTGTTCTTTGGATACTTGTTAAGCTAAAGAAATCAGTTTTGATCGGCAGTAAAAGTTCATGCTATTTTAAGTGCAATGCTATAGCTATTTTCTGTTGTATATTTAATCATTTTGAATTATATGTCATGTAAAAGATTTTAGCTCTGGGGCATTTGCCAGATGGCTGATTCTGCATTTCACACAACAAAAGAAATAATGTTTGTGTAAAGCTCTTAAAAATAGTTGGTAATCAGTATATTCTACAACGAATAGGATCCAGACCTGTTTGGAAAAAAAAAAAACAACCCAGCTTTTGCAGAAATTAATTTAGAGGATTTGGTCTCTACCTCTGGGCTCTGAACAAAACAAATTGTGTCTATTGTTTGCTGATTTTTTTAACATTGAACAAGTTAACTGAATTGTAAATTTTACTAATTTTTATGCTAAATGCCATTTATTGCAATTCATTGATCTTTTTACTTTGGCTGACAAACTTATTTCTGAAAACCGGGTTTTGTTAAAACAGAGAGCCAAAGCTCCTCTCCGTTTCCACAAGTAGAGCATACGAATGCGAGTAGCCCTTTGCTGTTCTTGCAACAGCTGTAGTGCTTGTCCTTTTTACTGCTACCTCCTCTTTCTGGCCTCTTTGATTCATATTCCTCCTCAATACCATTGCAAAAAAAAAAAAAATGTTTTCTCTCTTTGCTACGGCACTCAGCTTGTTTTCCTTGCCCACGAGGCTCTACAAAAGTCCATACAAATTCACCTTTTGGTCTTATCTCCTCTGTCTCCCACATATGTTCTTCTCTTGTGTCTAGTCCTAGGACACAGGTTTTTTGCCCACATTCATACAATTCCAGTTTGCT